CAAAATCCCCAGAACGTGTACAATATCCCTATTGTGCATGGATTTGCAGCCTGATTATTCAGAGCATAGCCAAGGAAAGGTAAGGCTATGACCCATTGTTTTCCTGCGATCAATTGAATACTGTCATTTGCATTTAAAACGCTCTAAATTCGCACTGTCAATATGCCAAACAGCTGCTCGAGCTTTTCAGCATTCCATGGTGACAATCACACTATCATACATCATTGGCACCAGGATTTGCAATACTCTCAGTGTCAAAATTTTGTGGGTTTTTTTTTTAAGAGGAAAAAAAAAATCCTCCCCTCCCCCCCAAAATACCCAAACCTGTGAAAAATCCACTTTTAAAATGATGGCGTTGGGTGCTGCTAAGCAGGCCTTCACAGATGCCAACATATCAAAATTCATCTCTTTTCTTCCTCTCCTACAATTAAAAGGTAGTTAAGAAAGAGGCTGTTCCTGATAGACCCACCTTCTGTTTTCTCCTTTGTATGCGTATTATTCATTAGCAGTCTAATAAGAGTTTCAAAATGCTCTGTGCCTCTGCCAGCAGGGCATATGTATGTAGACATGTGCTTGTGACAGATAAGTACATAAACAGCATATTGGCACCAGAAAGACATCTGTGCCTAGAAAAACGCTTGTGATATGTACATAAATGACATTTTAGCTCTAGTCAAGTCCTTGTGGCTTTGAGAGGAATATGTGACTGTACTCTTCTCTGTGAATACTGAAAAGGTGCGCCTTAGACGGGAGAGTTTGCCGGAGCTTTGCGGGGAGCCGGAGGATGCGGAGCAGCCGGGGTTGCGGCAGACGGTGGGAGAGCCGTGCCAGGGGAGGGTGGGCGCTGCCTCTGGCGCTGCCGCGGGCGAGGCCCCCGGGGGAAGCACCCGGCACCCCCAAATCTGCCTCGGTGCATCCGGACGGGAGCTGCCTGCGGGGCGGCGCTGGCAGCGCTCCGCTCCTGGGTGCGAAGGGAATCGAATCTTGGACCAAAAAGCCAGGGGTGATCCAGGGTCGGGGGGCACAGGGAGGGCTCCCTGCAGCACTTTCTGCTAGCTGCATTTAATTATCTGGCTGAAGGCTGAATGCAATCCCTTCACAATTGGCTTCTACAGCAGAAAACGGAAATTTTGGAGTGTTACAGAAGGGGACTGAGCATCCCATCTTCTGGGATCCATCCCAGATGGCACAGCCGGACACTGTAGCTCTGCTCACACCACTTGTTTTAGGCCTGTAATGCCTCAGTTTGCCCGTTCCTGGTGACAGCTCCCTGCCTTAGAGCTCTGAGGAGCATTGGGAATATGGCCAGGAGGTTACAGGTGAGAGGTCTATGGTCCCAGGAAAACCTAGAGATTATTTGCACCTAGGGTGAGGGAGGAGACAGAACATGCAAAATTGGAAGTACTTTAGTATTTACCACACACACAGAGCAGTAAATATGGACTTGGCTTCCTGATTCTGGGCATTGAAGCTGAATTCTGGGATATATGGGAGCCCTTATGTCCCAGTAAAATCACCCCAAGTGGGAAATTCAGCCTAAGAAGCGAGTTCAACCATGTCTTTCCTGAGTTTACTCCAGGAAGTTTAGGTGCTGCAGCACTCTTCATTCCCGGCTTTCTGAAATTACAAATCCCCTGTAGATTTCATTTGATCCAATAAAGTAAATCCTGAAAGGAAGTGAGTGTCCTAATCTGTCATTGACTCCAGGTTCATGAAGACTCACCTGGGTTGGAGCATGAAACAGCAGCTGCACCTGCATGAAAACCTTCTGGGACGTGGCATTAAGACAGATATTGGGGTGGTCGCTGCTGTTCAAGAGCTTGCCTGAGGTGAAAATGGCCTCACTTCCTTGGGTCTGACTTAAAGAGGAGAGGAACAGCAAAATATTCCTTGCTGGAAATCAGGATGGTTCCTTGGACTTCACTGGAGCCTGTTTGTTGATGTGACCTGAGCACACGGCTTCCTGGGTGGGTGGGAGTCTCACACCTCCAACGTGATGGATGGAACAACAGTGGTGGATGAGCTGTTACTTGCCTGAAAAAAAGTGTTTTGGGGAAAAATTTTCTTCAGTCATTCTCATTTTGCATGTTATTTTTCCTACATATGTTTCTAATCATTAAGAAATTCTGTAGCTTAAATAATGCTCTGAAAGTACGGTAACTGTTGGACTACATTCTGTTGTAACCTTATTGAATTTCACTTCTCTGGAAAAAATAATGGGATACTATATCTTGAAAAACAAATGGTAATTGCATTTTTAACAGAATGTTTCTCTTTGTGTTTCAAAACCTTCTGCACACAGTTAGACATCTAGCCAGGGAAGAAGGTACAAAGCATATGGGCCAATTTCTGTCTCTTGGCTGTTCAAGATGCCTTAATATTCAGGCAGTGATGTGTGTGTGTCCATGCAATATGGCACAATTTATCTACGTGGTATCCCTGAGCTCAGGTGAGGTGGTCAAAAGCTGTGTGCTGGGTTCAGGGGAGGTATTTGAGGAGAAATCGAGGGAAGGTGGGTCTACATCCTGTTCCCTACTAGATGTGTGGGTGCACATCCTCTTAAAAATTTAAATTTGTGTTATATGATCTGCAGAAGACCAATGTTCCAGCATTCATGGTGCTGACCAGAGGAACAGGTTCATCCTGCAGATGACTAGGATCTTACAGATAAGGATCTTGTCAACACTGCAGAGACTGGAGTTGTCCGAGAACTTTTGCACTGCCCATGTGCCACGGCGACGTGACTTCCCCTGTACTTTAGGGATTTGCACATCACCATGTGCTGAGAACTGGGTTGATTAAAGCCTGGAACCTGAAATAGCATTGCCACAGTTTGATAACATGCTGGTGTTATTGTCTGCCGAGGTTAGGAGAGCCCTGTTAATACTGGAAGGCTCTTCCTTAATTCTTTGTAAATCTGGCATGTTAAGAACTTTGTGAGGGGATGCATTTGGACATGTGAAGCTTCAAGGCAAAGGAATAGACTTGAGGTTTCTGACTGACAAGACACATGTGAGTACATGCAAAATGTGCTCCTCCTGCTAAAAATAACATTTCTCCTGTCAACCACGATGCACCCACCCCCACAACACCACCCAGAAGAACACATTAACACCTTGGCTTTGCACGTAGCCCGATTCACAGCAGCCACAAGTGGTAGAGGGATCTGCACTCTGTGCATGCTGACAAATCATATGGCACGGCGAGGAACAGAGGAGTGAAACTGGGCTAGCAGAAGTTGACGCCTTATCATCACAGTCCCTCTGAGCATGCTGTAGGCTGACACCTCCACCAACCGAGTCATCTCCCCGGTGCCAGGATGAGGAGCACGAGCCTGCTATCCTGATTTAGCCTCTGGTAAGCCAGGCTTGGCTTGCCACACCAGGAAGGCTGGAAGAGGTGCGTGGATGCAAATGGTGCAGGAGCACCGTGGGTGCGCCGGCACGAAGAGAAGCAAAGCACATCCAACCACTGCTGCTCACAGCTGTGCTACGGGGACATGGAAAATGTGCTTTATACACAAGGGATGTGAGATGTTTCTCCCATTGCTGTTCCCCGCTTGCTGCCTAATCCCATCTAAGAACCTGTAAATAATATTTCAAAGTAAGAAGGGTTGGGTTGCAGATAACTATTGCCCCTAAAAAAGACTACTGCCATAGCCAAGGTGCAGGTCTGTCAGGTAGCCTGAGTTCTTCTAAGATAATGAAAGACACGGACTACCAAGCTTTTTAAAATGGTGAAAGACTAGAGAATACCAGATATTTTTTTTTTTCCCCAATTATTGTTTCCTATGAAAAGCTGCACTTTTTTCCCTTGAAAATTAAAGCTTTCTTTAAAGCTGAAGACAGCATCCCTGCCCATGGCAGGAGGTTGGAATCAGAGGATCTTTAAGTTCTTGTTCAACCCAAACCATCATAGGATTCTATGGCAGTAAAAATTGACCATCCTTTAGAATTTCTCACATTAAGTTCTAGGCAAATAATTTGAAAACTCGTTATTTATAGTTTTACTTTAGTATAAGCTTAGATTCTTTGCAAAAGTAAATTTTTTAAAAAGAAAAAAAAAAAAAAAAGGAGAGAGCTGAAACCAAGTTGTAGCTAAATATCAGCAGGTGACACAAGATTGATTCCAGGTCATAAAGGTCACTGTCCGTCTACTGCAGCCTTCCCCCAGGACAGCATGAAGCTTTATTCAAAGGAGATTTTCGGAAAACCCAGGAGATTTAAATGCATAAGTTCCAATCCCATGGCAAGCACATGAGCCTATGTTCTCACTCTCGAAATTAAGCTCCTTTAACTCTTATTTGTGTGGCTGGGAGAGCCCTGGGCCTCTGCAGTTCTTCCCTTGTCTGAACCTGCCCTGACAGCTCTGGCAAAGCCAGGAAGGCATTGGTGGGCGCTGAAGGCACCCAGCCCTTTGCAGATGGTGCTTAGCACTTAACAGGATCAGCCCCTCAGCCACTTGTGTGGTGTCCATCACCTCAGATGCCTCACCATCCCTGAAACTACGCGACGCCCACCACATGTGATCAGCCCCTTAAGCTGCTTTCACCTCACCTCGAATGTTTGCCATGCCGATAATCCCAGCGGGGTGTCTGTATAAAGGAGCCTCTTGTTCAGGGCAAAAGGGAGGAATGCTCTTCCATAAGAAAATTAGGGAGTTGACAGAGATGTAAAGCCAAAGGTTTGCAAGATTGCTTTTGTTTGGCCAAATATTGTGAGGTTTTGGGGTTGTTTTTGGAGGTCCTGGTGTTTAAAGTTAGTTATTCAGCAGGTGATCTGGTAGCAGCTGTAAATAGAAAAGCAGCTTCTGTCCCCAGCCAGCTATCGGCATTTTAGCTGTTTTTGTTTCTTCTCCAGTCCTTGCTTACTCCTGTTTTAGCAAATGTAACAGCAGAATCAAGTCCCATCCTGGGATGAAAACCTGCGAGTTCATCAGCCAAGATGGAGCTTCAGTTTTGGCCTGATTTGGTGTCTCTCTTGAAAAAGCTGAACGGTTGGATGCTCCTGGTGGTTCTGGTCATGTCTCTTTTGATTATTGACCTTGTGAAAAAAAGACGACCCAGGAATTTCCCTCCAGGGCCGCAGCTCTTTCCTCTCGTGGGAACCTTTGTGGACTTTAAGCAGCCCCTCCATCTTGCACTGCAGAAGGTAAGAGCTCCATAGACATTTTCCCTACTAACAGTATCTTACCCTTCCATGACTCTTATCACTGAACTGTGAAGCAGCAAGGGCAGCCTCTGCAGAGCTGGGTATATAATAACCACATGAGATAGATGACTCTTCTTGGTTGTGTCTCTCACTATCACCTCCTTTTCCAGAGGAGTAGAATGGTCCAATGGGAAAGAAATCCATAATAGAGGAAGACCTACATGTTCCTCCTGTTTCTTCCCATCTGACTGTGACCATTTCCTTCTGGATCGCAGAAAGGGCTCAGAAGGGCTGGGCCAGGCTGGGGGACAGGTGAAAAGTGCTGAAAGCTGAACTGTTTGGAGATCACCTACGGAAATTGTCCTGTCATTGTTTTTGCTCAGAGGCCAACAATTCACTCCATCACATCTGAAAGAAACATTTAAAATCCAGAGTTATGTCCTGTGTCTTCTTCTGTATTGCAGAAAGAGGCAGTGATCTCTCTGGAAAGGTTTCCACAGCTTTGACTCCCACCAGAGACAAAAAAGAGAGAGATTTTATACAGGCTGAGTATACCTCTCTGAAAAGGTGGAAGAAGTTCTGACATGCTGGCTGCAAAAATTCTTCCTGGTGGCTATTTGTCTCTTGCTTTTGCTTAGCAGGGTGACACCAGCCTGTCTGCCCTGGGTGTTCTCAGGGCACCAGCACAGGTGATCTCTGAGGGAATCCTTGGGGAAGGCTGAGGCAGCAAGTTCAGGATATTTTGTCAATACGCACAATTATTAGGAAAATTAATCCCATTTATTTACAAGCACACAATGACTGAGACACCCATTTGGTCCCAGGCTGGTTTCACGAGTCATCACTGCAGTTTGGGGTGACTCTCTGTGTCCTTTCATGTAAGGAAAGGATCATTCTAAGAAGAGGATGAGCTCCTTGACAGAGAGAAGATATGATCCTCCCTTTACTCTTATACATCTCAGAGGAGACACTAATGCCAGCAAAGTCCATGCAAGGAAAATGGCTGCAATTTGGCCATAAATGCAGTCAGGCTTAAAATTAGATGTACATTGCTAGCAATAAGCAGTTAGAGCTCCTGTCTGAATGGGAGAGCTGGAGAAGAAACCACACTACTCTAGACACAAAGTTGATAAAAGTTGATTTGTCGTGCTTTGCCCTCAGCAGGAAGAGCCTGAGCGTGGTGACCTGGGTGGTGGGACAGAAAGGGACAGAGCAGATGCCCATCATTTACAAAGCAAGTTCCATCCTTGTTACAAGCCAAACTGATGTAAACCCCCTGTAAAATCCAGGTCACACCAGATAAGCAAACCATCTCTCCCACACTACAGCTCCCCAGCCCTTTTATGCCTTCTCCAGCCTTCATGCAGTAGCTTAGATTGGATGGGACCTGCGTGCTTGGGTTTGAGTTTCTTTGAAGTCCCTTTGCTTCAAGCAGGGTTAAATTTCAGTTAAATAAAGTCAGATTTCCCTGTTAAAGGTCTTGGCCAGGTGAGTTTTGAAAATCCTCATCTTCTTGTTCTCAGAGGACAATGGGCTCTCTTTCAGCTTACGGGTCGGTATGGGAACATCTTCAGCGTGCAGTTTGGAAGTCTGACATTCGTGGTGGTCAACGGGTACCAGATGGTGAGAGAAGCTCTTGTCCACCAGGCTGAAATATTTGCTGATCGGCCAAATATTCCACTCCTCCAAGAAATATTTAGAGGCTTTGGTAAGCACGGCTACCAGGATTTTGGGACAAAACTTTCATCCCTTTGGAATGATAACTGTTAGAGGGAAAGAAACAGGTTGAATTCAACCCTTGTGAGCTGCACCTGTAAAAGCTTGCACAGGGAAAGGCAAGAATTGAGTTCAGACTAATAATCTCACAGGGGTATGTTTTAATCTCTGTAATTTAGAGATGAAGATGGGTTTAAAAGCAAATTTTAATGAAAGAGGAGAAATAAATGCAAGCTGCCCAAAGATCGATACACTTGCAGCATTTCCACTTGGTTTTCAATCCTCCTTTACTTTTCCTGCCTGGGTTGCACACAGCTCCAGAGATGGGGTGCTCCTGCCTGCAGCTCTGCCAACAGTGTGATAGTACTCAGAGTATTTTGGCTTACACCTTTTTTTCCCACGCAAAGTGACAAAGTAGCAGATTAAAGCAAATCCATAAAGCTAGATCTTTAGCATAAGCCAATTACTCTTGAATTTTAATTCCCAGGCAAAGCCATAGCCTTTTCCACATCCACGAGCTTTGTTTGCCTTGGTTTAAGGTTTTTGTGCATGATGAATGGCCATTTCAGAATCCTAACATGCACAAATGACCCAGAGAGAGGATTATTCATCTGTTTTTTCTACCTACAGGGCTCATATCATCCAACGGGCACATATGGAGGCAGCAGAGAAAGTTTGCTTTAGCAACACTGAAAAGCCTTGCTGTAAATTTTGAGGAAAAAGTGCAAGAGGAGAGTCGGTATCTCGTGGAGACGATTGAGGAGGAGAAAGGTGGGGGTTAATGCACAGCACTTCAGAGCTTCCAGTTAAATGAATGATGAGAAGTAAAACTCTCACCCCAACACAGCTCTAAACATGAAAAACATTTTGTCAATAGCTCAAAACCCTATCTTACACTTTCAGACTGTGCCTTTTAGCATTTATTTTAGACCTCAGGCTTCCTATTTTAGTTGTTCCTTATTAATATTAAGCAAATATATACTATGTGGTTATTAAAACATGAGTGTTTATATGGCTAAGGAAGTGTCTCCTGCATTTGCGGAGGAATAAATGCAGCTCTCTTATGATCAGGCACTTCCACTCAGAGGCTTAGTTAACCTCTGCTTGTCCTTGGTTTTGCAAAGTATTTTAAAACTTGTTTAGTCAGGCTTTCCTTTTGTATCACACACAGATGAAGCGTGTGCCTTGCTCTTTTATGGTCCAGCTTTTAAAAACTGCCAGAGGGATATTAGTAAGAATAATTTGTATGTTGGTACATGGGTGATGTTGCACTTCAGCTTTAAATAGAAGCAGATGGGGTTGAGCTAATTCTATGGAGCTATATATAGTAAACAAGAAAGATCTAAAAAGGAATTGTGAAATTATATACTAAACTTGCTCCATTTTAATTGCTGTTGCACTAAACAGGCCAAATACTCCATGTTGCCAATTGATTATAGTCTTCTATAGTTCTAATCAATAAACTAATTAAGCTGCTGGTTTGGGCCTTTCTTCCCATTAGTAATGGCAAATAGTGATCATGTCCATCACTCTAATATCTGAGCACCAGCCTGGTTTAATTACTTTCTTGAAGAGTGGAGAGATCAGCAGTGCTGTGAGAAGTGCCTTGCATTTCAAAGTGATGCTCAACAGCAGCTCAGGGCTGCACTGGCCTTGTCACTGAGATCAGTCTCTTGTCACAGCAAGTGGCTCTCCAGGCTGCTGAAATGTGCCCAAGGAGATGAAGGTCCCTGCTCAGTAGCTCTCTCAGGGAACATAGATGTGACAAGCATCACATCAAACTTCACTTTATAAATGTGCTCTATGGGCCCCATGAGCTATTGCTGGGGTTTACAGGTGGGCACAGAGATCTGCAGCCCTCTCCCTTCTCTCCTCCAGCTCCCTTGATCTCTTCGTGGTGGACAACTAAAGCCCAGGGCAATAGTATTTTTGCAGTGTGGTTGTCCTGGGCTCCCTGCCCTGAGTGAAGCTTTGAGGGACCCTCTCCTGGCATATAAAATTGGCACCAAACACACATTGGAGTGGACAAAGTTGACAACCGTTGCATGGCATGCTGCTGGTTGCTTTCCCTGGAAAATGCAGGACTCTGCTTGTGCAGCACAGTGTTAATGTCACTGCCTGCCAGCAGCCTGGGCTGGACACAGGAGGGGATGTCCTGGCCCATGGTGCCCAGCCTCCAGTGGGATGCTGGAGGTGATGGGGGTGGTGGGTACCCCAAGACATGGGGTGAAACCTGAGCACCACCGTGGGTGAGAAGCAGATGAGGTCTCACCCTGATTCACAGTTGTGGATCTGGTAGAGAACATGATTTTGACTGAAACTGAACGAGAAAAAAAGAATGAAAGCTGTCTTTAGAATCATAGAATCAGGGGGAGATTTATGTTGGAAAAGATCTTTAAATTGATTGAGTCCAAACATTAACCCAGCACTGCCATGCTCACCACTAAACCACGGCCCCAAGTGCCACATCCACACGCCTTTCAAACACTTCCAGGAATGGTGATTGCATCACTGCCCTGGGCAGCCCCTTCCAAAGCCTGCCATCCTTTCAAATGAAGACATTTTCCCTCATATCCAAAAATCTCCTCTGGCACAACTCTGAGGCTGTTTCCTCTTGTCCTATCCCTTGTTCCTTGGGAGAAAAGACCAATCCCCACCTGGCCACAACCCTTCAGGCACTTTCCTTTCCTTTTCTTTCCTCCAGGACAACCCTTTGACCCTCATTACAAAATTAATAGTGCTGTTTCCAACATCATCTGTTCCATAACTTTTGGGAACCGCTTTGACTACCATGACAACCGTTTCCAGGAACTGCTGCACTCCCTGGCTGAAACGCTGCTGCTCATCGGAAGTTTCTGGGGCCAGGTAAAGCCACCTGGATGTTTTTCCAGCTTCAGCTGCATGTAAGAGCTCAGAAACTGGGGCTTCTAAGGCACTGGTATAATCTGCCTTTTCCTGTAGAAAAAGACCCATGTTTAAAGGAAAATGACCATGAGAATTGTTTTACATTAGACTGGATTTATGCATAAAGTCTAGCAGGAAAGCAAGGAAATAAGTTAAAATTATTGGGGCACATGGAGAAAAAAAACACTACAGGATTGCAAAACCAATCTTATGCCTGACATAACCAAAGAACAATGGGAAAATCTTCAAGGTATCTGTTTCTACAAAAAGAAGAATTACTAACACTGAAAATTCCTGTCTTTTCCCTCACCCATATCCCAACCAATTTCTTAAATAACTTCTATTTATGAAAAAAATTAAGATTTCATATTTAGAACCAAAATAGGTGGATTTGGTGATAGATTTTCTGCATGGCTGCACATCATGGGTCACATCTGGTCTCCGTCCCCTCTGTGGGGTCACACTAAGGGGCTCATCTCCATCCATCTCACCTGTGGCCACCTCATGTTAGGGGGCACCTTTGTCCACTCAGTATTTGAGAACTTTATCAGCAGAAAATATCAGTCCAATTCTTATTTTGTTTGCACTTGTTTACACCTGTGTAAATAAATTTGTACAAATTGGACTGTTATAGCAAGGATGATTTTTTTTCATGGTAGCAAGCAGAGTTAATCAATTAATTGAGAGTCCCATCCTCTCAACTATGATACCTGTTCTTTTCTAACTCAAGAAATTCTCTTTTGCTCTGTTTGATTTCTTACCAGCTTTATAATGCTTTTCCCTTGATCATGAGATGGTTGCCAGGGCCCTTCAGGAAAATCTTCAGGCACTGGGAGAAACTTCGATATTTTGTGAAAGGAGTGATTGCAAAGCACAAGGAGGATTTGGACCAGTCCGAGGCAGGAGATTACATTGACTGTTACCTGAAGGAAATAGAAAAGGTAGGAGGGAAATAACTAAAACCACCTAAAGATTAACCCATAGAATGATCCAGAAAAGATTCAGGGCTGTTTTGTCAGGGGAGCTCTTGCTCACACATTGCCTTCCCCTCCCTACCTCTGCCACATCAAACTTTAGCAGCAGCAGAAGCCTGATCACTTTGAAAACACACAGATTTTTTTCTTTTTTTTCCATTTGAAAGGATTTACACTTTGTCTTCTTCCCTTTTTCGTTCTGTCACACGGCGTAGGAGGACTCTCAGGGAACATGTTCGTGTTTCTATGAGCACTCGCAGGCCTGTGTTTGCTATTGTGAAACTTGACATTTAAAAATGCTACCTGCTTTCAAGAGCCACTTTACAGCAACCAGGGTGTCTTTCAAAACAGTCCATAGGGCTTGAAATCCAGTGGAAGCAAAGGCTGGAGATTTCCAAGTCCAGGGGTAGATAATAAAGGAGCAGCAGGACTTCAGTTACGTACAGGTGATTTTGGATTGGTTTTTAAAATCATCTCTTCCAGAGTAAGAGTTTTCACTGCCATGTTTTCTCTCCAAGTTTAAGGGTGACAACAGCTCCTATTTCCATGAGGAAAACCTGCTGTGCTCCACCTTGGATCTGTTCTTAACTGGGACTGAGACAACAGCGACCGCCATCCGCTGGGCTCTGCTCTACATGGCTGCGTACCCCCACATTCAGGGTAGGGCCACTGTGGGGTCCTTTGCTTAGCCCAACATTTGGTAAGGGAAACTCAGGGAACAGAGTTATCCCAGCTCTGCCACATCCTGGGTATGCCTGTAACCCGAGGTATCCTCTTGGGAACCTTTTGAAAACAAGTCTTAGGAGAAGCTGTTGAGGGAACTGGGAGTGTTTAGCACACAAAAAAGGGGGGCCACCTTCTCATGCTCTACAACACCCTGAAAGGAGGGTGCAGCCAGGTGGGGGTCGGTCTCTTCTCCCAAGGAGCAAGTGATAGGACAACGGGAAATGTCTTCAGGTTGTGCCAGGAGAGATTTAGGTTGGATATTAGGAAAAATTTCTTCACTGAAAAGGTTGTCCAGCCCTGGAACAGTCTGTCCAGGTGAGTGGTGCAATCACCCTGGAAGTGTTCAAAGGGAGTGTGGATGTGGCACCTGAGGACATGGTTTGGTGATGGCCTGGCAGTGCTGGTTTAATGGTTGGACTAGATAATTTTAGAGGGCTTCTCCAACCCTAAAAGTTCTATGAGGAGGGATATTTTGAATTTTTTTTTGCTCCCCATAGAGAAAGTGCAGCAGGAGATTGATGCCGTGGTTGGGCAGTGCCGGCAGCCCTCGATGGCCGACAAGGAGAAGATGCCCTACACTAGCGCCGTGCTGAGCGAGGTCCTGCGCATGGGCAACGTGGTGCCACTGGGGGTGCCCCGCATGGCCACCAGCGACACCACCCTGGCTGGCTTCCACCTGCCCAAAGTGTGTGGGGACCTTCATCCCACCAACCTTCATCCTACCAACCTTCATCCCACCAACCTTCATCCCACCAGCCTTCATCTCACCAGCCTTCATCTCACCAGCCTTCATCCTACCAACCTTCATCCTACCAGCCTTCATCCCACCAACCTTCATCCTACCAACCTTCACCCCACCAACCTTCATCCTACCAGCCTTCATCTCACCAACCTTCATCCCACCAACCTTCACCCTACCAACCTTCATCCCACCAACCTTCATCCTACCAACCTTCATCTCACCAACCTTCATTCCACCAACCTTCATCCCACTGTCCTTCATCCCATCAGCCTTCATCCTACCAGCCTTTGTCCCACCAGAGCAGGGTCTTCACAGCCCAAGTCCCAAATCTCACCTGGAGGGGAACCAACCGGCAGAATCTTATAGAAATATTGCAATTATATACAAAATACAAGCCCTCTTGATTGATTCTGTGGGGCTGTTAGGGTCTCACCTCCTTACAGAGAAGAATTGTGACATCCTTATGGTGCTGGCTGTAATTTCCAATTTTAAAAGGTTTATGCTTTAAATTTTGTAAAAGACACCCTCAACATATTACGGGAATAGAGAACTAGGAAACATAGGAAAGCAAACAGTTTGGGTTTGTTAACTCTACACAATATTAATAATCATCTTTTAAAAGTAGCACTTGATGAAAGGCATGTGATAAGTATTGTTTCACACACACTGTTCTGCAATTACAAAAGCAAATACAGGATTTATAGATAACTGGTCTATTCCCTGTATATGACTCGTTGCAATGAGGCAAATTTAAAAAAACCCAGGCATTTTCCTTCACATTGATTAGAATATTTCTCTTGATGACGGAGAGTGTGGAGATAAACCAGATTAGTTTCATTTTGTCCTAAAAAAGCACATTTAAACAAATCGATTAGAAATTACTTGCTTAAATTGCTTCTAGTTCCTATGGGAATGCAGTGCTACCAATTTAAAGTTAGTTTGCATTAACATCACCTGTTACTGCAGCTCAGGGTGCAGATCCACACTTGGTGATATGTAAAGGCACACACAAGTGAACAATCCTGCAGGCTTTCACCCTCATTTAATTACGTGGCTTAGGGGGGTGAAAAAAAATCCCGTTTTGCCCTTAGTGTAGTTTACAGAGCTAATAATAAGCCAGTCTGACAACACGTCTGCTCCTCTCCGCCGCGTAATCGCCCCTTTTCTCCACCTCCCGCAGGGCACCACCCTGATGACCAGCCTGACTTCGATAATGTTCGACAAAAACGTGTGGGAGACTCCAGACACCTTTAATCCTGAACATTTCCTGGAAAACGGCCAGTACAGGAGGCGGGAGGCTTTTCTGCCCTTCTCTGCAGGTAGGATGATGGATGGGGAGGTGGCTTTTCTTTTTGTAAAGCTTTTATCTTTCCCCCAAGACACTGCTTATAGAGAGGGGGTACAGCTCCTGTCCGGCTTCCAGCCCATCCCCACAGTGAAAATCCCGGTCACAGTAAACAGAGGCTGCTCGGAGCGGGAAGGAAATCAATTTGTTACTGCAGGATAGAAAAAAAAAAAAAAAAATAGGCTTTTTCTTCTTGCATAACTGGGTTGTTCAGACTGTTTCCGTTCTTCGCCTCTCGGAACAGGCGCAGTTTGCTCGGCAGTAAACTTCTGGGGAAGGTTTGAGCAGATTGTGTGGGTGAACATTGCCACCTAACCTTTCCAGGAAGAAAAGCTGCTGCAGCCTGTGCAAGGCGGCGCAGGCCAGAGGAGGCTCCGAGGTGCCTGGAGCTCGCTCGGGACTCTCTCGGGTTATTTGTGCTCCTTTTCCAGGCAAGAGGGCTTGTCCCGGGGAGCAGCTCGCCAGGACCGAGCTCTTCATCTTCTTTGTAGCCCTGCTGCAGAAGTTCACCTTCCAGGCCCCAGCAGCGGCCGCGCTGTCCTTCGCCTTCACGCTCAGCCTCACGCGCTGCCCCAAACCCTTCCAGCTCTGCGCCGTGCCCCGCGACTGAGCCGGGCCTGGGGCTGCCCCAGACCCCCACTGCAGCCTCACAAACTGGGAAAATCCCTTCCCCTCACCACACCAGAGATTCTGGGCTGAAATGATGGGCCCTGGAGGTCCAGCACCTGCCAGCATCTGGGTGGCAGGGGAAGGGCACAAGGGCCTTGTCCTGCACACTGCAACGAACGCAACCCTTGTGGCTCTTCCCTTCACCTCATTCCTGCTCCCCGCTACCAATCTGACAAAATGCATGGATTTAAAAGCCTTATTACCTAATTCCCACTGTCAGCAATTCCCAGTAAGGTGTCTGCCAGCCACAAAAGCATGGCTTGATGTTGGCTTTTCCACAGGGAATATGTCCATCACCCAGAGATCACTTAGCAGCCCCTAATGCTGCGGCACCCAAATAGCCAAGGGCTCCCGAGGTGTCCCTGCTCAGAGGGAGCAGCTGGCCTTGGACACAAGCTCTGGACTTGTGACTCAGCATCAATTTGGAATTTCAGTGGCCACAGGCAATCCCGAGCCTCAGGTGGGTTTGGGCTCAGTGTGGTGGACACTCCCTGCAGCACCACATTGCTGCTGTCTGATGGAAATCACAGAATCAAGGAACAGTTTGGCTGGAAAGGGACCTTAAAGATTAACCCCTCTGCCATGGAAAGAAACATCTTCCACGAAATCAGGTTGCTCCAAGCACCATCCAACCTGGCCCTGGACACTTCCAGGGATAAAAAAAATATCTAAGCAGAGTTCTCTGCAGCAGCAGCAAGCGTTTTTTAGGACCTCAAAGAATAAATGGAAATTTTAATTAGGCTACAGGGGAGTAGAAGCAGCTTCTACCAAAGCCCAACCCAGGTGGGATGGCACAAGGAGCTGTGCTGCCAGCAGGTCTTGAAGGGCTATAAAAATACGATAGAGCAATTTTATATTAGAAAAGGAAAAGGGTTGTGCTAGTAAAATACAGAAAAGCTGCAATAAAATAATCTTCTGGGGTTGCTGGAGAGCAGTTCACCTGAAGAGCAGCAGAAAGGGAACAGCAGAGAGTGTTGGAAGGGTCATGCCCGTGGTGGCTCAGCGCTGGCCCTCAGGAAGGAAGTTTTGGAACAGTGGCTTTGTGGTGGGAAGTCACGAGTTCAGCACTTCCCCTCTGTTTCTGGCAAAGATTTGGGTCTGTGTGTGACCAGCATGGAGCCGAGGAAGTGGCTGGGGACAGGGCACCCCGCATGATGACACAGTTTCTTCCTGTGCCAGGTCTCTCTGGATAAGAGTTAATTAAATATGCAATTTGTAGAGAATTTTTCCATTTATGTGACCAAGCATTTATGCTTAGAAATGCTGTCTCCAGTGTGCTTCAATTTGGACTATAGTCACAGCAAAAATTATTCTTTTTCCTCTTGGTTTTTTTTTTTTGGTTTTTTGTTTCTCACCTTTCAAAAATGACTTTTCTGTGGGTACCCACGTAAGATATGGAATAGTTAACAGGAAAAGAGGATTGCAGCGAGTTTCATTTCCACCGGTTGTCTCCTCTGTCCCCGGCAATAGCGGCTTTGCTGCGGTACAAAGCGATTGCTATGCAGTGGCAGATTTATGCCACAGGGGAGAGTCCTCTGCACATCACATCCCTGCCACGCCGGGCACACGGGGATTCTGTCACTGAGCTGTCCTTCCGACCGATCACTTTAATCCTATTGCGTTTTTAATTACTGTTTCACAGTCACAGGCTCCCATGTTGTGTTTTTGTCTTTGTAAAAGAGAAAACATAAAAGATCCAGGGACTTTTTTTTCCACCTATGAAGTCTTCAGTGCCACTCGGGACTAGGCACTGGTTTCTCTCCATTTTTGTATTCATTCTGCTGTAGGTCTGACCTCTGGCTACAGCTTGTATTATTTGCACTGGCTTAACAAATAAATATTGATCTCTTCTTCATTTCCAACTTGTGTTTCTTCATTACTTTGGGGTTTCCTTCCCAACTCCTGGAGATAATAAATTATTGAAGTCATCTTCTTTTTCTTCTTTTTTTTTTTTTTTAATCATGTGGGGAAACATACCAAAATTAAATGCAATGATGCCACACCTTAAAGGCAGGAGGCATGAATTTATTTAATTTTCAAGCGGATCCTCTCATGTCACTGCTGGTGAGCATGTGCATCTCCAGGAGCTCATGCCTAAGTGTGCTTAAAAACCAGAGGTGAAAAGAGATATTCTCAAAAACAGGCCTCTCCCCTTTAAATTCCACAATAGAACAGCTTGGGCTTCTCCAGCTTCCTAAGTGTAAGGGTTATGGAGAACACGTGTATGGCATCACTCCAGTGGCTCTTCTACATCTCTGTGCCTTGTCATCAGCACTGGACAATCCCAACAGCCACAAGTGATGCCCCCAGAAGAGAGAAAAGGAACCCAAAACGTCCCCCAGAGCAGGAGGTGGCAGCTGGTGACTGCAAGGGCTGTACTGAGCCACGTGGTGCAGGGTCAAAGTGCTGCTGCTCCCTGCTTCTTTCACAGTAAAACACAACATATACATCAAAATTCCATGTGGTCCATGTGCATGAGCACCTCCCTAACCCAGAGCTGCTCCTGGGTGGGAAAATGCAGCACATTCTGCTGCCAGCTACCACCAAAGGGCCCCAGAGCTGGGCATCTGCATTGGCTTCTCAGCACCTTCATGAGCTCTGCGGGGCTTTGGGAGCAGCTTCACTGCGGGCCATGACCCAAAGGACAAGGCAAGTGGGAAGGGTTGGCTGGAGAGCTCAAGGCATGGCCAGAGCCAGCTGCTCTGCCTGCACTCGTCTGGTGGAGATCAGAAAGTGATGGTGCTTAGGAACCGCCGAGTTCCAGGACAGCTGTTTACTTTCAGCCCACGTCACCCAGACACACGGAAACACGAAACTGAGTCAGGTGGTTTGCGAAAGGTTTATGCAACCTTATCTCGGATGTCCCCTGAGACCTGGGGCTTGGCCCGGGACTCCTTGTACCAGGGAGTGAGCTGCTGTAAACAAGGAAAGCCTGAGGCTCTCGTAGCAGCTGGAGACTCCCTGGCAATGAGAAGCTGAAACTGGGACACAGCACGGTGAGGACAGCCGGGAAGGAGGGAGCGGGGTCATCCTGAGAGATGGGCTTGTGGGAACAGCATGCTGAAACTGCCAGGTTTTAATCTCAATCCCACAAAACTCATTTCTGTCCTTTAGGCAAGTGCATGGAGCACTGGGGTTTAGTAAAGTACTGAGGGGAGGCTGGAGGGGAAAGGGGAAGCTGGGGGTGTTCTGGTTCATGGTGGGTGATTTTTTAAAAGTCAGATCAGAGGGAATGTTTCAGTTTAATCAATAAGGGGTTTAATCATTTCTGAAAGCTGGGAAAGCAGGAGTCTGAATATAGCCTTGAGAGCAGGCAGCAAAAGCCCACTCCTTGCTGTCCTGTGTTTGTACCCACAGCTGATCATCCATCTCCCCCTGGCCCTGGGAGCCTCAGTGGTGCCCTGTGAGCTCAACCTGTGTGACCTGCTGTGGGACACGTCCCTGCAGAGCCTCACCATCCAGCCATGCTGCACTTCCTCTGGGACAGCATCTCCCTCCAGACATTCCTTGTCTTTCTCTTCGTCTTTCTGCTCATCACAGACTACATGAAGAACAGAAATCCAAAGGATTTCCCTCCCACCCCCTTCCGCCTTCCCTTTTTGGGGCACATCTATCTCATAGACTTCAAAGATCCTTTGGTTGCAGTGCAGAGGGTATGTGGGTAGTGAGCAGTATGGGGAAGGGATGGAGGGATTGCAGCAACACATCCCTGGCCATGCAGGGAAAAGGATAACCCAAACCCCACAGGTCCTGAAGGCAGGCAGGAGGTTTGCCCTCATCGGTGACATTTACCTGAGTACAAGCAGGGTGACAAGTGTGGAGTGATTCCATGGGCAAAGGTCACAGCACAATCTCCACAGGTGCAGTCACAGATGTACAAACCCTACAGGTGTAAGTGGGGGCTGGAGGGCTGGAATGGGGTGAAACAAAAACTGAAAAAAACATAGGACTGAAAAATCAAACTTGGTGAAGTTTATTTGATTTATGGCCAATTAGGACCATCTCCTGATCACTGATTTGGGAAAAGAGGAAAGAAAAAAGACTGCCCTCAGGCAGAGTCCACACATTCTGTCCCCCCCTCCCCCTCTTCCCTTATTTTTACCCATGTCCCCTGACAGGGGTGTCCTGATCTCACCAGGAACATTCATTGCAAACGAAAACCGCTTTTATTTATGTCCCCTCCCAGCTGAGTAAAAGATATGGTGACATCTTTGGTATGCAAATGGGCAGCATGAAGTTTGTGATGGTAAACGGGATGCGGCTGGTGAAAGAAGTGCTCGTGAACCAAGGGGACAAGTTCATGGAGCGCCCCGACATTCCCATCGATGAGGAGGTCTTCAGCAAGATGGGTGAGTTATCCCTCAACGTGCCTCAGCTCTAAGGTCTAACCTTGACCCTGCAGAGCCCTGGAGCTTCTCTCCCTCAGTGGAGATCGGCCCTGGCTCATGGGGGATGTTCCTGCCAGGACTGATCTCTTCCAGCGGGCACCTGTGGAAGGCACAGAGGAGGTTCACCCTGACCACACTCCGAAACTTTGGCCTGGGGAAGAGGAGCCTGGAGGAGCGCATCCAGGAGGAATGTCGATACCTCGTGGATGTGTTTAGAGACGAACAGGGTGAGTGCCATGGCCCTCAGCAGCTGTGAAGGCAGGAACTGGTAGGGCTTGTTATAATTTCACTGCATGCTGAAAAATATCCCATCTTGCAAGGGATGCCACAACCCTGCCAGCCTCCCTGCTCCTTCCTACAGGTGCTTTGCCTTCCAACTGGCTGGGGAAAGCAGCCAGGCACACACACAGCATTATTCACTGCCCACCTTCAGCCTGCTCCTCTCTGGGAAATACCATGTATGCATAAGCGCTGATGCTTCCAATGAATTCAAATGACATCCTGCAGACTTTGCTTTCCAAAGTAAACAAACATTTCCATAAGCTGATTGAACTGGGACCACTGGGGTTGCCCTGCCAAGCTTGGCCAGGTCACGGGGTAAGCCAGGCACCCCAGGAAAGCACTGACATAGAACAGTGCCCATTAGGGGCCATTCATTTCATTCATACTTCTTGACTATTTTACCTCTGACACATGTTTTTGTCTTTCCTGGGAAGAGTGGAAGAGAACAGATCTTTTTTTTCTCCAGGGAATCCTTTCAACCCTCAGTTTAAAATCACTAATGGTATTTCAAATGTCATCTGCTCCCTCATCTTTGGCAATCGGTTTGAATACCATGATGAGGATTTCC